ACACATGCGTGTGGTCTGATAACAGTGTTACATGGAAACTCTAAAGTCTATAACTTTTTAATTATTTTGGACTGATATTTTATTTTTTTTATATTTGTAATCAGTATACAAATCTAAATGAAAAGTTAAAACCTAATAATATGTCACAAATTGTGTAAGTGATCAGAGCAACAATATTACACTGTTGTATATGACAAAGTAGAATTTCTTATAAGATATAATTTTATAATTTATAAATTAAGTTATTTGAAGTGTTACTATTTATAAGAATTTTATTAAAAATAAGAAATAATTTACTTCGAATCATATTTAAATTCATATGAATTTCGTGATAAGTCCAACATTCACTTAATTTAAATTTAATTTACGATGGATCGAAATTCAAAAACAAGTTCATTCAAATATCATAGTCATATTCTTGAACTCACTTGGATTTTAATTATTTTGAATTGAATTTGATAGTTTATTTCATTCACAAATGACACCAATTTTTCAATATCATCTCCTAAAAATAAAATAATTTCAAAATTTGATAATTTTGTCAAATATATTACATTAAATTTTTGTTTAGTCATGATGAAATATCAATATGTTTCAACAGGTGATATATGGATTTATTAACATGACCATACATACTGTTGTAATTGTAATTTGCATCTGTTCCTTTGTAATTTAAAATAATTTTATCTTTATCGAATGTCTTAAAAATTTAAATAACAGCGATTAGAAAATATATAAAATATTTATATTTACAGGAGAGTTAATGACCATGATTGATTCTTTTACTTTTTTAGAAACTCATTTGTTTGAAAAAAATTTTGTACAACAAAGTAAACGATTATAAAATTAAAACATAACTCCATGAATGTTTTCTATAGGTTTTAATAAATCAACCGTTGTAATTTTGACGTGATAAAATGTTCTTAAGAACGTTTTAAAAAGAAACTGATATTATCCCATTTCATAGAATCAATTACGTGTGTCCTTTTAACATAATGTAAATCAAAGTACTTCTTAATATAAAAATCAATTAAGTCGTAACTCGGCATAGTGTTAGCTGAACATGTCTGACAGTAATTGAGATCTCTATCCTAACATGTTTATAATTTTTTGGAGATATTTTCGTTAAAAAAAAGGGAACTTTTCATTTTCAAAGATAAAGTTGTCAACTAAGTTAGTTTCATTTTTATAACTAGGCAGGACGTAGAGTAAAGATGCGAAATAATTAGTGATAAAAATAGCTGGACCCACTCCTTACCACCAGTTATAACTCTAAATTGTTAATGACTTCCGAAGTACTGGTCTAAAAGTTGTTATAAATAACAATAATTAATAATAACTTTTTTTTTTACTTTAATTAGTATTTATTTCTCAATTTTGAAGTGGTCAAATATTTCTCCCTTATAAGGGTACCAACTTTATTTTAATTAATGGAAACATATATACGAGGAACGTCCGGAAAGTAAAGATACAAGCCCCTCCATAACGGCAGGGAATTTTTTTTAACTTTGGCACCACTATGACTTAGAGCGAGATGTAACGAACTAATCAAGACGAGAACCGTTTTTATACGTTGGTATTTTTGTCAGTGAGAGGTTATCACGATGGGCGAGTCATCGCGCGCTCCCGACATCTCTATCAATGAATATGTAAATTGTAAAGTGAGAGGTGTGATCCGTTTCCTCGCTCATGAAGGAGTCATTCCCAGTGAAATTAATCATTGACTTGTTCAGGCATATGAACCAAAAGTAATAAACCGCCAAATTGTCGCTAAATGGGTACGGGAATTCCGAGCAGGAAGGACGAATGTGCATAATGAAGAGAGGTTGGGTTTTTCATTTCAACTCATTCATGATAATCGTATTCGACTCTCGACGAACTCCTTGTCCATATGTTTCTCGAACTGTTCTGCACGATATGGTCTCGAATAAACTTGATTACAGGAAACTGTGTACTCGTTGGATCCCAAAAATACTTACGGATGAACACAAACAGAAGAGGATTGAGTCAGGTGGATTGTTTTTGGAACGTTATGACCAACAGAGAGAGGTACTATTGGGCAGTATAGTAACTGGGGATGAAACTTGGATTTCCTACACGATGCCAGAAACAAAGACACAATCGATGCAGTGGTGCCAAACGCATTCTCGTAATGCTAAAAAATTCAAAACAACTCTTTCAGATCGAAAAGTCGGTTAGGAGTTTTTGTTCAATATTTACTTGTATGGAATTTGCGTCAGTATAATATACAGAGTGAAACTGTCAACTCATATAACTTATGATCTACATAAAATTTTATACTTTTTTTTTTTAATCAATTTTTACAATATAGAACTATATTTAAAATATGTTTTATGTTATTTTTCGCAATTA